AAGCTATATTAAGAAATCACATTTTTTAAATGTTTTTCTATTATTATTTCTTTGCTTCTTGCTCATTCATTTTGAAATCTGTTGCTCACTGGGAGAGAAGCTGTGCAGGTGCCATAGGTTTCTCACCCTGGAAAGATCTTTCCTCTCTTTCCTCTGCCCCCCTCTCCTCTCCTGAGATCCAATGCAAGCCCCTCTCTTCTATGAAGCCTTCTCAGAATCAACTGAAAAGATGAAAAGAGATGTTTCCTTGGAAATGTAACTGCCTGAAGGTAAAAGACATCTATAGGTAAGGAAACAGGCTAAGCTCTGGAAGGAAAGCTGAGGGAAGGGATAAGATGGCAACTATGAATTATGAAATTCCCCTTCTCCTTGGAAGAGAACCTCTGTAGAGGGAGACAGATGCACACAGGTTTTCCATTAGTCCTTTTTGATTATGCCTTCTGTGGTATTTCTTCAGTGTTCACAAATTCTTTGCCACTCTTCCCTTCAAAAGGTAGAGTCTAATTCTCCCTTCCTTAAATGTGGGCTGGGATCAGTGAATCGCTTGTAATGAATAGAATATGGTGGACTGGTAATGTACAACTTGCAAAGTTGGCCAGAAAAGGGTAGTGCAGTTTTTGCTCTGCTTTCTCTTGGATGATCTACTCCAAGGGAAGCCAGCTGCTATGCCATGAGGACTCTCAAGCATCTCGGTGGAGATGCCCATAGGTAGAGAAACTGAGATCTTCTGCCAACAGCCAATATCAACTTGCCAGCCAAAAAAAATGAGCCATCTGGGAAGTGGATCCTCTAGCTCCAGTCAAGCCTTTGGATAACTGTGCAGCCATAGCTTGACTGGATCCAAACCACCCAGCTAAGGTGCTTCAGAATAGCTGTGAGAGACAACAAATGCTTACTGATGTTTTAAATTGCTAGGAAGGATAGAGCTGGAGACACACTGCAGGAGGAAAAGGTTTTTGCTTTCTGGTTCTGGTGTGCTCAACTGGCAAGCTCCTGCAGTGCGAACAGCTTCACCAGTGCCTGGTCCCTGGAGTGACCAACATCAGCAGCAGCTGACTCCCTTGGGCAGAGATGTAAGCAGAGCCCCTTCACCTCCTGCAGCTTTTGCAGATTCTTCAGCACCCAGCACCTTCTGTGCATGTGGCTTCTCCAGCATGAGGAGCACGCACGAGCTCTCTAGCATCAGGCTTCTGCAGTTCACAGAGGCCAGCAGCACCCCGGGCAGTAGCTTCCCCTGTACCGTGCTCAGGCACTTTTCTAGCCTTTGGTTTGGCAGCCCCCTGTGAAGAACTTTCCTTGGCACCCTAGAGGACAGATTTCTGGCAAGTTCGGACTTTTCTAACATCTGGTGAGCCATAGGCTGTGTTCTCAACAAGGTCTGGATTTCAGCTTTAGTGGGGGATGGAGGGTGTCTCTTCCTTGGGTGCTCTATCCTCAGCCTCAGCCATGGGGATAAGGGTTGCTCCTATGTCTACTATTCATGTATTCTTTACTCTTTACTCACCAATTCTTTTGTTACTCTAATTATATTAAATTATATTAAATATAATTACATATTTATATAATTATAAAAAATTATTATATTAAAATGCCCCTGTTCAAATTACTGTGTGGTTTCTCTTTCACGACCAGACCCAGACTGATACACTAAGTTTTGTCATAGTTTGTTACACAGCAACACATAACCAATACACCCCTTCCCATCTCATTGCCCATTGCCAACTCCCCTTTTATTACCATCAGCCAGTTGTTACCATGTGCCTACACAGACCAGGCTCTTCCTTCAAGGTTTTTATCAGGAGTCAGATATGACCTACTGCAAGAAGAAGAACAAAGTTTATAAGACCAAAGTTTTAATTAACCAAATGCCAGATATAAGGATCAGACGTGAAGTTTCGCAGGAAGCAGCAAAGGCTGGTTGAAGAAAGCTCTAGGCTGCAGTAGGGCATACCTCAACTCTGATGATGCTATAGGACACAGCCCAGTGGAGAGAGAAGAGCCTTGTAGGTAGGGGGAACATTGTATCAAAAGCTTAGATGCAAGACCCTATTTGAAAGGAGTAGGGCAGCAGTGACTAGTTCGCTCCAGGTTGGCTATAGAAGAGATGTGACATGGTAGGCTAGTGGCAAGCATGATGACCAGATCATGAAGGGCCTCGAATACAAAGCTAATTCATTTGGCGCTATCATGTAAGAAAGAGGTCCAGGGACCATATATTTGAGGACAAAAATCAACCTACCTTTGTTGTAAGTACAATTGTACTTGTCAGATCATGAGACTTAGCTTTGGAGCTGAGAAAAAGTTCACCATGACAGTTGGGAACCTGTGAATGTTTTTTGAGGATGATGCAACATGGGGTTCTGAGATTGGCCTGGAGTGTGGAGGGCCAGAGAGAATGGAGACCAGAAGTAGAAAACTCAAAATACTTGATGTAGGGAAGAGGGTAGCAGCAGTGGAAAATGAAGAAGTGGATGTGGGATGTTCTGAATGGTGGGCTGGATGTGGTGGAGAGGTGTTGAAGGTGATGCCCAATACTTAGCTGGTGACAAAGTAACAGAGGGAGCTGGCTGAGGAGTGGGTAGGATGATGTTGGCTTTTGACAGGTTCCACTGGGGTCACTGCAGTGTACCCAAGAGGCAGGAAGGAGCAGCCTTAGGCCTGCACCCAGGAGAGATATGAGGGCTGATGATTCAGATCTGGAGGTGATGATGTCCACTCAGAGGTGACAAGTCAAACTTTGGGAGATGGTGATGAGGATGGTCCCCAAGTAGGAATTGGCTCTCTGATCAGCCCATCCTCATCAACAACCCTCCTCCAACCCAAGAGATGAGGTCTTGGGTCAGGAATCCAGTGGGGACAAATTTCCTTAAGTATTCAGTCCTAAACAGACCCCTAAAAGCCAAAAGCACTGTCTTTCTCAACTGCCACACATTCTGGATTAGAATCCATAGTCCACTCTTACGGAGCTCAGGCCAAGGAATATGAGAGCAAAAAGCCCAAGCCTAGGAGGCTCTAATCCTATTTCTGCCCCAGATCAGTGAGGAAACGTTGCGCAAGTCACTTTTCCTCTTCAGGTTTGTTTTTTTCCTTCAGCAAAATGCCAGAGTTGGCCTTAGACTAGACTGTGGTCCTGCCCCTGAAGATCACTGGGGTTCTATAGCTGGGACAGCATGTTCTTCCTCCTAAATCAAGTGGTAGCAGATAGAACCACTCCAATTTTAGGGTTTTCCCCCATAATGTTTTTTTTAATGTTTATTTATTTTTGAGAGAGAGAGCAACAGAGCATGAGTGGGGGAGGGGCAGAGAGAGAGGGGGGAGACACAGAATCCAAAGCAGGCTCCAGGCTCTGAGCTGTCAGCACAGAGCCCGACACGGGTCTTGAACCCACGGACCACGAGATCATGACCTGAGCCGAAGTCAGACCCTCAACTGACTGAGCCACCCAGGTGTCCCCATAATGTTTTCTTAAACCATTAGCAATGACTACTGCTTATTTTCCAGCACAAGCTCACAGATAACACAATGCATGAGCAAGTGGAAAATGCAACAAATGGGAAATCTGAAAACAGGTGATCATATTTGGTTTGACAGTCTTCTTATTTCTGAAGACTTCATGGTTATGGCTTATTATTATTATTAATTTTATTATGTATTTATACATTACATATATAAATTATTTTTATTTTATAAAAATATTATTTATTATTTTAATTATTATTCACATAATCACTCTGGTTTCTAAAGCTAAGTTCCAGTGGCATTTCAGAGTGCTTCTTAGAGAGTTCTGGGACTCCCCAGTGCCTGTAACCCAAAAAAGACTGGACTGGAGAAACATAGGACTCAATGCTCCCTAGGACCTTTCCAGTGCCAATCTTTCTCTTTCTCAATCTTTAATCTATGATGAATACCCTTCGCATGCAGAGCATCGTGCCTTACATTCACTAACTCACATAGACTCCACGTAGTCTTCCCAACAGCCTCAGGAGATAAGTTCTATTATTATATAGATTATTATATAGATCATTTTATAGGCGAAGGGAGGATTGAGGCTCAAAGAGGGTAAATGGCTTGCTCAAAGTCACACAGTTAGTATGTGACAGAGCTGTATTTGAACCTGAGTCTGATTCCAGAGCTCTCACTCTTCCAATATGTCTGCAGTCTCTGTCGTTAATGCTGCCACCAAATATTTCAGTTCTTCCTTGGACACATGGTAAGACTGATCCCCTACCCACTTTGGCTAGTGAAATATGAGCAGAAGTGGTGAGCATCATTTCTGGTGTAACTTTTTTTTAAATGTTTACTTATCTTTGAGAGAGAGGGAGAGAGACAGACTGTGAGCATGGGAGGGGCAGAAAGAGAGGGAGACACAGAATATGAAGCAGGCTCCAGGCTCTGAGCTGTCAGCATAGAACCCGATGCAAGGCTTAAACTCACCAGCCGGGAGATCATGACCTGAACTGGAATCGGTTGCTTAACCGACTGAGCCACCTCTCTGGTGTAACTTTTAAGACCCAGGGATCACTGCCACCTTCCTTTTCCTTCCCTAGGAGTTGTAGGTACACAGTGAAGATCCACCCTCAGCCTTGGTCACAGAGAAGATGATTTGGAATAGACACCTGTCCCTCCTTCCCCTCCCCCCCAGCTGTAGGCATGTAGCATGAATAGGAAATTACCTTGTTGGGGCACCTGGGTGGCTCAGCCAGTTAACTGTCCAACTCTTAATTGCGGGTCAGGTAATGATCTCACGATTTAGGAGTTCAAGCCCCACGCCAGGCTCTGTACTGCCAGTGGGGAGCCTGCTTGGGATTGTTTCTCCCTCTCTTTCTGCCCCTCTCCTACTCCCTCTCTCTCAAAATATATAAATAAGCTAAGAAAAGAAAGAAAGAAAGAAAGAAAGAAAGAAAGAAAGAAAGAAAGAAAGAAAGAAAGAACGAACGAACGAACCTAGTCATTTTTAAGCAACTAAAATGTGGAGGCTGTTTGTTACTGAGGCCCAGCCTGGCCCACCCTGAGTAATCCAACGCAACATGGTCTCCTGCTGATTATCTTTGGCCTCAGTCTTGAAATGTGCCTTCTCCCTAAAACTCCCTTAAAGCATTGGCTCCACATTCAAATTTTAAAAGCAGCAGAGGAAGAAGAGAATCCCCTAAACAGGGACACGGGGATGCATTCTGGGAGACGCACCCATGCTTTGCCACACTCTGTGTGGGGGTCCTGCCAGCTGAAATCTATGCCCAGCCCCTGGAAGACCCTGTACAGAAACTGCTCCTCAAGCTTTTCTCCCATAGTCATTTATTGGCTCTCCTTAATTTTATTCCCCGCTATTAAAGTAGGAATGACTGGGCTGGCAGGCAGAGGGCCGGACTCCCACATCCTGGGAGCACTGCAGGCTGACTATGACCTTGCAGGCCTGGATCTGAACCTCCTCCTCGGGGTGGATGACCAGGGCGAGCAGCCGGTCTGCCAGTCGTGACTCATCTCCAAAAAGAGCTTCATGCAGAGACTGTTCATTGTAATGCCACTTCACAGCGCGGTAGTGGGGTGAATTCCGGCCCTCACTAAGTCGCTCGGCAAATACCAGTACCTCAAAGAGCAGACTCCCTGGCTGTGTGGACTGAAACAGGCTCAGGAAGTTGGCATGCACCTGTGATGGGAATGGAGATATAATGGCAAAGAACTCCAAGAAAAGTTCTAAAGTTCTTCCACCTTCCTATTGCCTCAACTCCCCAGTACCTAAGTTTCAGATTCAACTGTATAGGAATTCTTTAGTTTTCATTACCATTCTCTAACACAATTGCACTCTGGTCATAAAACATGAGAGACAGGATCATAACATTAATTCTGGGAAATCTGTTGAGTCAAACATTAAAGCTTATAGTGTGGTTAATTTTTAGAAGTCTTTTTATTTGGGGGTGCCTCGGTGGCTCAGTTGGTGGACTGACCAACTTTGGCTCAGGTCGTGATCTCACTGCTTTTGAGTCTGAACCATGCGCCAGGCTCTGTGCTGACAGCTCGGAGCCTGGAGCCTGCTTCAGGTTCTACCTCCCTCTCTCCCCCTCTCCTGCTCATGTTCTCTCTGTCTCACAATTTTGAAAAATAAGTATTTTTTAAATTTTATTTATTTTATTTTGAAGGGAGCACTGGGGAGAGGGAGAAGGAGAGAAACAGGCTCCATGCCCAGCGCTGAGCCTAACATGGGGCTCAATCCCATCACCCTGGGATCACAACCTGAGCCAAAATCAAGAGTTGGACACCTAACCAAATGAGTCACCCAGATGCCCCAGTTTTTGTAAATATGCTGTGTGTTTGAGATGAATGTACATTTACTAATTGTGAAGTGTTCTTTACAACTGTAGGTGTGTCTAGTGGCTCAATCTTGTTTAAGTAATTCACAGCAGATACATTCTTACTAGTTTTAGGTTTTTAGCTATTAATTGCTGAAAAAATAATTAAAATCTCCCCAATCTTCCACTGTGGTGGTAGATGTGTCAATTTCTTCCTTATAATGATTCAGCTGTGAGAAAGAAGGAAATCCTACATTTGTGACAACATGGATGAACTTTGAGGACATGATGCTAAGTAATATAAGCCAGACAAAGACAGATACTGAATGGTATCACTTATTGATGGAATCTTAAAAAAAAAAAAGTCACACTCAGAAACACAGAGTATAAAAATGGTTGCCAGGGGCTGGCAGTATAGAAGAAACAGGGGACACTGGTATAGGGTACAAACTTTCAGCTATAACATAAATAAGGTCTGAGGATCTAATGTGAAACATGGTGATTATAGTTAATAACGCTGTATTATATAATCAAAATTTGCTAAGAGAGTAGAATTTAAATGTGCTCACACACACAAAAGATAAATATATGAAGAGATGGATATGTTAATCAATCAGATGGTGAGAATCCTTTCACAATATATTATCTATATCAAATCACCACTATGTACATTTTAAATGTCTTACAATTTTATCTGTTCATTGTCCGTAAAACTGAAGAAAGAGAAAACAAAATGTTTTCCTTGTAATTCTATCAAGTTTTGCCATATAAATTTTGAGGCTGTGTTATTAGGTTCGTATAAGTTAGGAGTTACTTTATCCTTCTGAACCATTATTATGTACTGACCCTGTCTATTCCTAATAATGGTTTTTGTTATAAGCTTTTTTTCTCTAATATGAAAATACCTACATTGACTTTTGTTTTGTCGCCTGGATTCCTGGCTCTCAGAGTTCAGAGAGCCCTTTAAAGGAGAATCTTCCTCCTAACAAAATGAATTCTCATTCTATTGGAAGAATGGAAGAGGGAATATTTTTCAACATATCTAGTGCAAAGGCATGAAGAGAAACAAGACGATCTTATTAGGGCTAAGTCTGCCTGGGGAATCCACGATTGTTCCATACCCAATATCTGAGTTGGTATCCATCAACCCTTTTTCAGTTCTTTTCTCACCTGGCAGTTGAGAATATCATAGAGAAGGTCATTTTTCTGTGCCAGGTAGCTCAGCAATCTTATGGCTTGCACCTGAATAAAAGAAAGAGTGAAAAAAAAATGATAAAGCAGATTACTCTGGGCTTGAGCAGGGAAGGCACAAATATCTGTTCCTCCCTCTACGTGCTGTGCCAGAGCTGGTCAGGAGGGGCAGGGCCTGGGCCATGGTCCTCAGGCACCTGTGCCAGGATATAGTCTGACTGTAGGATCTCCATCAGGGCAGGCATCACCCGTCTCAGCTGTGGATGCACATAGTCGGGCAGTGGGAGGTTGTTGAGGAGTCTGAGGCCTGCAATGTGTAGCTCCGAATCCCAGATGGTGGAAATCAGTTCCAGAACCTTGAAGGAGTGTTCCTGGGGGGTGGGGGTGGAGGGAGAAGGATCTGCTTTTACGTGGTGATCCCCAATACTATCCCAGCCTCTGCCTTCCCTCTTCCCTGCCCCCACCCATGAGGCCTGAGCCAAACCCAGTAGACACTTCTCTCTAACTTATACTCCCATTATTTGGCCTAGTTGGCCACTCCTACCTCCTTTCTTCCCTTGGCTTCTCATCCACAGAATTCTTTCCTGGTTCTTCTGCCTAACCTCTTCCTCTCCGTCTTCATCTCTCCCTTAGGGAGTTCACCCAGACTCACTACTCACCCAGTAGTGTTAAACACTATTGATGCTGATGCCTTTCAAGTTTCTGTCTTCAACCCAGACCTCTCCCTTAACTCCCGATTCATATATTCAGGTGCCAATTCCATCTCATTCCAGAATGCTTTTCAAAAACTTATTTTATTTTATTATTTTTTAGAGAGAAAGAGCATAAGCAGGGGAGAAGGATGGGGTGGGGGGAGAGAAAATCTCAACCCTGGGATCACGACCTGAGCCAAAATCAAAAGTTAGATACTTAATCGACTTACCCCCCAGGCACACTGGTGGCTTTTTAAAGATTTTATTTTTAAGTGATCTCTACACCAAAATGCGGTGCGAACTCACAATGCCGAGATCAAGAGTCACATGCTCCACCAACTGAGCCAGCCAGGCGTCGCTTGCCAGAATGCTTACCAGACCTTCCAGAGTTAACATGTATGCAGTCCCCAAACCTGTTTCTTCCACCATCTTCCCTGTCTCTGCTGTTGGTTACATCCCTCTTCCGGTTACTCGGGTCAAAAATCTGTAGTCCTCTTTAACTACGGTACTTTGTTTCTCTTCAACACCACTTTTCCAATCCTTCAGAAAATCCTGTTGGCTCTATCTTCAAAATCTATCAACAGTTAAGCTGCCTCTCACCGTCTCCTCTCTACTACCCTGTTCCAAGCCGCCATCATTTCTCACTTAGATTTCCGCAATAGCCTCCTGTCTCCTACTCGCCCCCCTGCCTCTATTTTCAGAACAGCAGACATGTTAGACACGTCACTCTTGGGCTCAAGTCCTAGTTCATTCAGGGTAAGAGCTGAAGTCCTTATAGTGGCTTATAAGGTCCAATATGCTCTGCCCCTTTCCCCTGCTATTGCTTTGACCTCATCTCCTATTCTCCTTTGCTCCCCCGGTTGCCATCACAACAGTCTCGTAGTCATTCCTTGAGCATGCCAGATACACACTTCTCTTCTTTTTGCACAGGCTGTTTCCTCCACTTAGAATGCTCTCCCTCCAGAGAGTCATAGATCATTCTTTTACCTCCCTGAAGATTTTGCTTTAATGTCGCCTTCTCAGTGAGGTCCTCCGTGACCACCCCCTTCTTCAAGACTGCAACCACTCCCAGCCCAGTCTTCCTTACCCTCCATCTTTATTACATTCTCCACAGCACTGTCACATGCAACACACTTCTTATTTTTAAACTTTTAACTTTCAAATAATCATAAGTTCTCAAGAAGTTGCAAAAAGAGCCCAGAGAGGTCCTGCGTGCTTGTCACCCGTTTCCCTCAATGGTCACACCTCACATAAGTATATACAACATCAAAACTAGGAAACCAGTATCGGCACAAGGTGTGTTGTATAATGCTGTGTCATTTTATCACACGTGTAGATTCATGTAACCACTACTGCTATCAATAGATTAGGGACTCCGTTACAGTCCCATTTGCCCCTCCCCACCAAAACCAGTCCTGGCCACTGATCTGTTTTCCATCTCTGCAATTTTGTCACTTTGAAAATGTTACATAAATTGATTCATACTTTGTGACCTTCTGAGATTGGTTTCTCATCCAGTGTGATGCCCTTGATATCTAAGTTGTGATGTGTGTCAAGAGTTCATTCCCTCATATTTCCGAGTAGTGTGCCGTGGCATGGATTACCAGTTTGTCTAACCATATATCCATTGAGAGACAGTTTGGTTGTTTCCGGCTTTTGACTATTACAGGTGAAGTGGTGATGAATAATCGTGTACAGGTTTTTGTGCAGATAGAGGTTTTCATTTCTCTAGGATAAATGCCTAGGAGTGCAACTGCTGGGTTGTATGGTAAATGTATAATTATTTTTTTCCAAAAAAAACCCTCCCAACCTATTTTCCAGGATGGCTGCTGTACAATTCCATATTCCCACCAGCTATAAGAGAGAGATCCCGTTTTTCTTCGCCCTCACCAGCATTGGGTACTGTCACAAATTTTGAGTTTAGAATACTTGGGGCACATGGGTGGCTCAGTTGGTTAAGCGTCCGACTTCAGCTCAGGTCATGGTCTCATAGCTTGTGAGTTCGAGCCCCGCATCAGAGCCTGGAGCCTGCTTCAGATTCTGTGTCTCCCTCTCTTTCTACCCCTCCCCTGCTCATGCTCTGTCTCTCTCTCCTTCAAAACTAAATAAACATTAAAAAAAAAACCAAACACTTAATAGGTACACAGTAATAGTTTGCTGGGTATTAATTTACATTTCCCTAATGCCTACTGATTTTAAACATTTTTTCTTTCTCTTTCTTTAATGTTTATTTTTGAGAGAGAGATAGAGACGGCGTGAGCAGGGGAGGGTCAGAGAGAGAGGGAGTCACAGAATCTGAAACAGGATCCAGGCTCTGAGCTGGCAGTCAGCACAGAGCCCAACGCGGGGCTCGAACCCACGAACCGTAAGATCATGACCTGACCCGAAGTTGGACGCTTAACCGACTGAGCCACCCAGGCACCCCTCTTTCTTTTTTTTTTTTTATATAGTTTTTATTTATTTTTGAGACAGAGAGAGACAGAGCATGAGTGGGGGAGGGGCAGAGAGAGAAGGAGACACGGGATCTGAAACAGGCTCCAGGCTCTGAGCTGCCAGCACAGAACCCAATGCGGGGCTCAAACCCACGAACCGTGAGATCATGACCTGAGCCAAAGTCGGACACTTAACTGACTGAGCCACCCAGGCACCCCTAAACATCTTTTCATGTGCTTATCTGCAATTCGTAGATCTTCTTCAGTGTAATGTCTCCATGTTTTCTGCCCATTTTCTAATTGGTTTTTTTTTTAAACAGTGAGTTTTGAGAGCTTGTTCTATGATCTGGATGGAGTCCTTTGTCATCTATGTGTCAACTATGTCAGCTTTGCAAATATTTCCCCCTGCCTGCAGCTTGTCTTTTCATCCCCTTAACAGGGTCCTTCACAAACCAAATGTTTTTAGTTTTGATGAAGTCCAATGTATTGATTTTTTTCTCTTATGGATCATGCTTTTGGTGTTATTTCTATTTCTATGAACTCCTCATCAAGCTCTAAATCCCAAAGGATTTTCTCCTTTGAAACTGTATGGGAAGCTCCTATACCAGCTTTCTTACCATCCTTCTTTATTTTCCCCCATAACACATGTTACAGGAAACAACTACATATTCCACTGACTTGTGTATTGCCTGCCTTGCCCTGCTAGAATATCAGCTTCCACTGGGACCAAGATCTTTCCTGTTCTGCTCACTGTTGTATCTCCAGTGCCTAAACAGAAAGTACTCAATATACACTTGTTGAGTGAATAAAGGGATCTTTGACTTCTGAGATGTAAGATGCTCGGACTGAGAGATATTACCAAGGACTGAGAACCCCACAAGCTGTACTTTTGTGAGCCATGTAAGAAGGCGGCAAGGATCCTGGAGTAAGGATCACAGCATTCCCATTAGTACCAGCCTCTCCCTGCCCCAACCCCTTGTTGTCCACTAAGATCTGAAGGACAGATAAAGAGGACGTCTGGAGCGGTGTTTCAGGCAAGAGCAGGTGCAAGGGCCAGGAAGTAGGACAGCATGAAACATACAATGTGAATGGCTGGGGCTGGGGCAAGGAGGTGGAGGGCTGTGCTCTTTATGGTTGAGACCCTTAAGGGAGACCAAGCAGGGGGTTGATGGGATCAGATCCCTCTGGAAAGGGTGGTCTGACTTAGGGAGCGGGGGTAAGTTCCATTTTGGACATGCTGGATTAGAGGGCCACTAGGATGTCTAAGTGGAGCAGCTGGCCATGGGTCTGGAGGTCAGGGGGTCCCTAGGCTATGGACAGAGATGCAGGAAAGTGCATCTAGATGAAAACTGAAACCAGAGATTGGCTGCTGTTACTCAGAGGAAAGGGCTCAGGTCCTGAGGATACGATGGGGAAAGTGTTGCCCAGACCAACTGCATCAGAAGCTCCTGGGGGGGGTGTGAAAAACATAGCTCCTGAGCTCAACTAGACTCTCTAGGTGTGGGGCCCAGAAATCTTCCATTTTAAACAACTCTGCAGGCAATTGATATGCTTGAGAATTACAAAAGGTAGGGAAACTGAGAGGGCTGAGGGCTAAAATAGAGGCAGCCAGCAAGCAGAGACATAGAGGCCTTTTTTTCCACCCAAAAAAAGTTTTTCGTCCTTCCTTTCTTTTTATTTTTAAGTAGGCTCCATCCTCAACATGGGGCTTGAACTCATGACCTCAAGATCAAGCATGGTCTACTGACTGAGCCAGCCAAGTGCCCCTCCCCAAAAAAGTTTGATGCCAAAAAACTTCAAACGCGAAAGTACCAACGTTTGGGAAGTAAATGGAATATTCACGCAGAGCCAGTACAGGGTGTAAATTAACACAACCCTTCTTGACAAGTTGGGCATACCCTTCATCCAGCCATCCCACTCCTGCAGACATACAGATGCTAGAGAAAGTCTCCTATATCCTCAAGGGAGGTGTGTACAAGAATGCTCATGACACAATATAGAAACAATTTAAGTGCCTACCCATGGGCAAATGGATAAATAAAATTGCAGGACGCTCATGAACTAGAATACTATACAGCAATAGAAAACAAGGAAACAAAGCTGCACCCGGCAATACAGATGAATCTTTCAGTGTTGGGGAGAAAGGCAAACCACAGAATACAAAATGCACACTTCCAGATGCGTGAACCGTAAAAACATCCCAAACTACATTTTGCCTACAATTTTTTTCTTACATTTTGCCTACTATTATCTACCTTGCTTTGCCAAAATGATACGTGAATATATGGTAAAACTATAAGGAAAGGGACTGATGCATAAAATGGAGGAAATAATTGCCTCTGGGTGGGATTGTGGGGGAGGGGAGCATCTGGAGCATCCAACCTGTTGGTTAGATTTCTTAGCCTGGGTTTCAGTTATATGTGTTTTGTTTATAGTTCTTTCTACTGTACACATAAAATGTTTGTAAGTTTTCAATATTTATTTTTAATTCAGGAGAGACCATTTGCTAGAGAGGAATTTGGAGGTCAAGGAAGAAGGTTCTTTTTCGCGTGGGGGAGTTAAGATTGGAAGGATTAGAGCATGTCGAATATTAATGGGAAGGAGTTGGGGGCCATATAAGACAAAGAGACTAATTAAGGAAAGAGGTCCTCAAAGAAGGGGATGGGATCCAGGCCGGAAACTAATGTTGACCATAGACAGGAAGAAGGCCATTTTCTCATGGCATCAGCAGGAAAGCAGGAAAGGATGGGTGTGGAAACAGATAAGCCTGGGGACATTTGTTGGCTTGTATTTTCTCTACATGGTAGTGGTGAAGGCATCAGTGGCCCAGCCACCAGCAACAGACCAACACAGCAGAGGGCGGGCAGTATAATAGATCCGGCCTTTGTCCCTGGTTCTAGGCACAGAGCTCCTAAAATCCTTGCACTTGACTGATACAATAGTGTTTTGCTTTTCATAACCAGTTCCTCTGCATTATCCCAGAGTTTATGTCAAGTAGGTGATTCTCACGGATAGCGAACAGGTTCCAGATGGGGATGCTGGTGGCCAGAAAGGCCAAGCCATGATGAAGGGGACTGAAGGGAAGGGTCAGAGATTGGGTTCAATCGCCAATGGCCAATGATTAATCAATCACACCTACATAATGAAACCTCCATACATATCCCTAAACAACAGGGCTCGGAGAACTTTCCGGCTGGTGAACACATCAAGGTGCCGGGAGGGTGGCTCACCTAGAGAAGGCTCGGAAGTGCTGCACCCTGCCTCCCCACTAATACTTTGCCCTATGCATCCCTTCCATCTGGCTACTCCTCAGTTTATCCTTTATAATTAACTGGTACATGTAAGTAAAGTGTTTTCCTGAATTCTGTGAGTAGTTCTAGTGAATTCTCAAACCAGAGGAGGAAGTCCAAATTTATAGTTAAGTGTACTGGCACGGGACGTGGGGGGCAGTCTCGTGGGACTGAATCCTTTGTCTGTGGGATCTGTACTAACTCCAGGTAGACAGTGTAGAATGGAGTTGAATTATAGGACGCCCCATTGATGATATAGAATTGGTCGGTTATCAGAAAGAACCTTGGGGCTTCCTGCTACGTGGGGCTCAGAGACACTCCTAGCATCCCAGTTCAGTTTCAGCCTGATATTCAAAGGCTTTTATGATCCCGCTGGGATCTGACCACCATTTTCTCACTAATTACAAAGAAAATCAGACCCAAAGCTCCCGGAGCATGACCATCTTCCCCATGCCTACTAAAGAAGCCACGGGCTGTGGACATCCTATGTGCTCCACCCCACTTGCCTTTGGGCTCACCTGGACTTTAAGCCTGAATTTTCTGATGCCGGAGAAAGCTTTAAGTGTGTTCAAAGCTTGGATTTTGACACTGTTGTCCTTGTCATCCAGCATGGAGCCCACCAAGTGGATGTCATCAGTTGTACAAGCAGAGGCCTAGAGTGTGCCAGGAGAAGCGGGTGTCCTGGGCCCACAGTGCCCCATGTCACCAAGACCCCTCAGCACGACCCCTCCCGCCGTCAGCCAGAGACAGGTCCCGGGACACAGTCTGGCCAGCCCAGGGGGCGGGGATGGGCTGCAGTCCCCAGGGGCCGGGCTGGCTGGGAGGGACCGCGTGCTTCCTTCCCCTCACCTCGGCCTCCAGCAGGTACACACAGCGCGTGATACTGTGCAGGATCATGCTCCTGGCGTATTCATCCTGTTTGCACTCCAGGGAGTTGAGGAGCCTCCGGAGCTCACCTGAGTCCCGCCCGTGCCGCTCTCGCTCGATTGCCAGGCCTAGACAGCCACCCCAGCCAGGTTCAGGCTGGGGACTCAGAAGTAGTCAGAGAATGGGGCTGGGGAGCGGGGGAGAGGGACCTGGGGACAAGGCTGCCTTGCCTCTTCTGAAGAGAGGCCTTCTTGCTCTATGCAGGACCCCCATAGAGAGCCGAGCCGTGCGCCAGGGCGCTACATCTACTGATGTACCGTTCGTATCCTAAATGTCATGGTTTTGTGTTTACTATAACGATTTCCTGGCATATGGCAGTCGTATGTGGTATCTCATCATAACCAGTATGTGGCAGAGGTATTCCAACAGATGGCAATAAAAAAAGTCTGGCAGAAGGGCGCCTTTCTCTACTGGACGCGAAGTTGTCCTATGGGCTAGTGGACGTTCTGGGGATGTAGGTGCCCCAATCCTCCCTTAGGAAGAGCTGCTGATGCCAAGTTTCCAAGCAGTGGCATCCTGGGAGCTAGGGCGTGTCAAATTTGGAGACCTGCCAGATGAGTGTCCTGAAATCCACTTGACTGCCATCTACTTCCTGGGGACTCTGAGCTAGCATCTCGAGGGCGGGTTTGGGAAGATGGAAGAGAGAAAGAGGGAGAGAGGAACTGGGAGGAGTCACCTTTGGGCCCTCCCACACTGGAGACCTCTGGAGCAGGTGCCTCCTGGGGCCGAGCCCTCTCCCCAGGGCCCGTACACTCACGGGCGATGCAGATGGGTGAGGTGGTGCAGAGTGGAGGTTGGCATTTTATGCCAGCCTTGATGGCCTTGTAGAGCAGGTAGATGAACCCGGCCCCTGTGGCCAAGCCCACTATCCCTTTGCGGATGTCCAGTTGCCCCAGGCAGTGGGGGATGCTCATGCCCATGTCTTTGGCGTGGCCTTGCGCCCAGGTGGGGGCTAGGCCCAAGGCACCCGGCAAGGGCCTTCTGGAACCAGAACTCTGGCAGGGCCGGGACCAGGGTACCAGAATCAGAACCTGGGCAACAAAGGAAACTGGGGAAACAGGATGGAGGGTGGTGATCAGGAAATGCGACAGTCAGGAGTGCCTGGAAAGAGAGAAGGCTCAGCTTCTGAGGTTGTAGGAAATGAAGTTCGAGACTCTAGGGGAAAAGAATTCTGAGGGCAAGAAGGTCCTTCACTTCCCGAGTCTTTAGGAGAGCCAGGATGGCTGGGCGCCGGTATGCAGCTCTAGAGGCTTGCTTTCCTCCATTAGAGGGCAGCAGAGGCCCAATTTCTGGGCTGGTTCCTTGGGAAGTTTCTGGGAGGGGTGTCTGGGGTGGGCCCAATTGGCAACTCCGTTCGCTTGTTCCCTGGCCTCTATGATTTCTTCACCATGGATTGGCTGCTGGGCCTCTCTGGGTGTTTCTGCAGGCAGGGCCCCCTTCCATCAAGGGGAGCACTTTAGGCAAACTCATCTAGCAACTGTAGTTCCCCTGTAGTGGCTAGTGTTTACCTGTCTGGCCGAAAGCTTTTGAGAGCAGCTCTCCCTGCATCTCCAACATCTGGCAGAGTCCTGTACTTAGTAGGTGTTCAAATCATGACTTCTGCCAAACAGTGTCAAAATCATGACTCTTGTCAACAGTGTCAAAATCCAACCCAGAGTGAGCGAGAATCTGGTACGAGTGCTCCAGGCCCATTTAACCAGCGTGACCCTGGAGGAGAAAGGGATAGCCCTTGTCTGGGTCTCAGTTTGTATATTCGCAACCTGAGAGGATCCAGATTTACCATTCTATAACTCCAGGATCAATATTTTGGTAGGCGTGTACCTTTAAACGATGGGGGTCGAAGGGGCACCTGGGTGGCTTAGTCGGTTGGGCATCTGACTCTTGATTTCAGCTCAAGTCATGATCTTGCAGTCTATGGGTTCAAGCCCTGCACCAGGCTCTGCGCTGACAGTGTGGAGCCTGCTTGGGATTCTCTCTCTCTCTTTCTCTCTCTCTCCCTGCCCCTCCCATGCTCATTCGCGCACAGTCTCTCAAATAAACTTAAAAATAAACGATGGGGCCCTAAATCTGGAAAAACCACACCCCAGTGCCCCACACCCTGCCCCACCCCTACACGGTGAGATGAGGCGTGAGGCCTCCTGTGGAGTCAGAAAACACCAGAAAATAAGAGTCTGACTTAGGAGAGGACTTGGCCTCTACCAATAGCTTAGGACAGCTGAGACCAGATCCTTCCCTTTCTCCCCCTTCCCTGCTGTTCCCCATATCCTCTGGCCTTGCCTCCTAGTACCAAACAGGGAAGTGACAAGCCCCAAGCCAGCACTGGGCATGGTTGTACCAGACAGGGCTTCTCCCACCTGGGTTTAAGCTACTGTTGGAAGGTTCTAGGTCCTGGGCTACACCTGGCCTTGATGGAGGTGAGGAAGTAGGGAAATAGCATCCCCGAGGATGCTGCAGCCAGCCAGGCCCGTCGACTCAGAGCCTTCGCATAGCACACCCCGGGCCGCAGGTAACCCTCCTACCCTTCTCTTCCTTTCCTCTCTTCTGGCCTCGGCTCTCCTCAAGGGTCATGCCTAACACTCTACCCAGCCCCAAGGTGGGAGACTACGTGGACTCTGTGACAAGGGGTGACAGAGGCCCCTGAGGCCTCCCTGCTGCTGTGGAACAGCCTTCCATGGCCCATGAACTCCAGGCAAGACATGGCTGCCTGATGGGACTGCTTCAGGTTCTAAAGCTACCCTGGTGGACCTGAGGGTAGATCCTTCAGAACAAAGGTTGCTGCCCTTCCCTGGGGTAGAACCCAGAGCTACTGGCCTCTCTAGTCCACAGGCTTGACTTTGCAACCCTTACTTCCTATGCAACTGCAGTGCTTACCTGTTCTTTAAATTAAAAGAAAAAAAAAAAAAAGCGTTCTTTTTTGGCTTTCACCCAACTCCTTCCTGCTACGCCTAAAGCCCATTTCTTTTGGTTTTGCTCTCAAATGATACAGAGGGACTAAGAGGCAGAGGCCATTTCCAGAGTGACATTTTCACTAGTCCACAGCAGAGTGAAAAAAGCTTACAGAGGAATGTTCATTTGTTGTTGGAAAGTCAATGACTGTCCTTTCTTGGCAATGGCTGCTTTTGATTCAGATGAGGTCTTTGTTAGTTTGAGAATGAAAATGCGCTTGCTTTCATGAAATGATAGTGATAACAGATGGGGTTGTGCTTTGGACGTTCTTAGGGTACATAGCTTCAAGCTGCAACTCTGTAGGAAGTTGGCTTTTGTTACCTCATTTTGCTTTTTGTCAAACCCAGACAGAGAAGTCTGGGATTCCATATACCACAACCAGCCCCAAGTTTCTTTCCTATTCTTTTTTTTAATGCCTTTTTTTTTTTTTTTAACATTTATTTATCTTTGAGAGACAGAACAAGACAGAGCGTGAGTGGGGAAGGGCAGAGAGAGGAGACAGAATTGGAAGCAGGCTCTGGGCTCCAAGCAAGCAGTCAGCACAGAGCCCGACGCGGGGCTCCAACCCACGAACTGTGAGATCATGACCTGAGCCGAAGTCAGACACTTAACCGACTGAGCCACCCAGGCGCCCCTCTTTCCTATTCTTACTGAGGCAAGAACATGAGGACTGATCTAGCACGCACCTCTCTGTCATCTGCACTGGCTTCCTACTCTCAAAGCTGATGTTCCCCTCATGGTAGGTGCAATTTAGTTTAGTGAAGGAGAGAGGGTGGGCTAGAATCAGATTACCAGGATTCAAAACCAGTTCGGCCAGTGACTTAGCTTTGTATTCTCTTTGTACCCCCACTCTCCCTGCCTGGAAAATGGGAATAATAATGTCTGCCTCTTGGGACTGTTTGCAAGGATTAAGTCCTTGAAACGGTGCCCAGTACACAGGGTCCATCAAATGTCAACTATAATTACTATTATAAGCAGGTTTCACCTAGACAAAAACGTTGGGAGTAGAAAGGCAGTGAGCACACAGAAGGCGGTCTCAGTGACACCTGAAAGAGACATTATTCATCTGCTTTACCCACCCCACCCCCACCTTCTTCAGGCTAATCCATCTCCACTCCCCTAACCCACTTAACTGCCTTGAACAACTCTGGACCCTCTCTGAAGCTCCCCAAAATACTTACACCAGGAGGGCCATTTCCCACCTATGAAACCCCAAACTAGCCAGCTCTGGTAATGAGTGTTTCGGCCCAGTTAACTTAAAAAGCCTAATATGCTCTTGGGGACCTACTGGGTGTGCAACGCACAGTACTAGGCCTTTATGGTGTGTGACCCTGGCGGGGACCAGCGCTCGTAGGCACAGGAGAAACGAAGGTGAAATTAGCCTGCTGTATACTGGACCGCTCCCCGGGGTCCGATGGGCTCGGACTTGGGGCAAATTCCATAAGCTGAGCCCGTGTTTCCTCCTCCGGAATATGGGTTTATTGACACCTACCTACTAGCAGGAAGTGCTGCTGTCAGAACTGAACGAGGGAATTTATGTCGCGACGGTAGGTAAACGGGCCAATCCATACGTGCGAGCTCCTCCTGGCAGAAAGCCGGAAAGTGGGGAGGCGAAAGGCAGGGGGTGCTGCCCGTGCCCTGACGTTGGACCCCACACTTTCCGAGGCCGCCGCCTCCCCGGCTGGCGCTTACCCTGGCCCAGGAACCAGATTCGGGGGGGGGGGCCTCCCTGCAGCTTGCTACTCCAGCGGAAGCGTGGGGACAGGGAGAAAAGCGGCGAGAGCACGGAGAGCGGCGCCCCCAGAGGAGGAGGGCCGGGTGGGGGGCGGAGGCCGAGCCTTTCCCCGCCCCGGGCCTCCCCACTTAGCTCTCCCCCCCTCCTCCCCGGACTACCTCCTCCCCAGGCGCGCATCCGGCGACGGGCACAGGATGTTCTTTCGCTCCCGTCTCCCCCCCCCCCGCCCCCGCTCTCACTTTCCCTTCGCTCCCTTCCCCCACTCCCGCCGCGCCCGGCGCCGGCACCTCGTTTAACCCCTCCTCTCCCGCGCTCCGCGGCGCTCCGGCGCCCCCGGGGCTCCCACCCTTCCCGCCCACCCCCCAGGACGCGGAGCGCGCTCGACGGCTGCCCGGGAAAGGGCGGGCCGGCCCGCGTTCTCGGGATCCATTGGCCCGCCAGCGGGGGGAGGAATGGAAAGGGCTCCCAGGGGATGAAACCGGCGTTCTGCAGACCCCCGCCAGTTCACCGGCGCCGGGTGGGCTGGGGGGTGGGGCTCCCGCACTGCAGCGAGCTCGGCGCCCGCGGGGGGCGGCCAGGTGGGCGTGGTTAGCTCGGGGGCCGGAGGCGGGCGGCCGGGTGGAGGGCCCCAATCTCGTCCTCTGCCGGGGTCTGAGCAGGCCGGGGCCAGGGGCTCCGGGAGAGGATGGAGAGGGGTCACGCCCCGCTTGCACACGTCACTGTTTCCAAGGCAACCGGGGCGGGAGAAGCGGGCTGGAGAAGGAGAGACCTTCGAGAAAGGAGGCTACCAGAGGCTTTGGGACCCAGGATAGGGGGGTGGGGAGTCTGCGGGGGCGGGCTTTTCAATCTGCTTCCTCACTCGCTGATGCTGCAAGAAACTGAAGGGAGGACCGGTTCTGTTCATTCAGCAAACGTTCATTGAGCTGGAGCTCTGCTGGGCGCCATGCTTAGGCACTGGGCTACGGTGGCTCGGGGTCCGAACGCTGCCCTCCCCCGTCAATGTTAGGGTAGGATGGCCTTGCGCCCCGGGTCACGTCTGTGCAACCAGTGTAATGATTAATAGTGTCCTTTTTCACACTTAAAAGTGTCCCAGGATTGGGGGGGGGGCTAGTTAAGGAATTTGTCCCCCAATTCAGGGAAGGCTCCAATCGTGTAGGAAATGAAGACCAACTATTGTCTGATCACAATGCAAAAGGCACTTTTTTTTTTTGGCCCTTTGTATTCTCTGTAATTTTTGCCCCTCATTCTGCAAGGTAAGTATTACTAGTGACTTTTACAGATAGAGAAACTGGTTCAGAGAGGTTGAGAGAGTTGTCCAAGCCCAAACAGCTAAGTGTTGGAATCCAGATCCAGGCTTATGTGGCCTCCAGAGTCAGAGTGTCCTATCTCATGCTCCCTTCTCAAAATAAATAGAGTATAGTAAATAAATAAATGAAAGGTACTACTCCTGCGACGAACGTAACTATAATCAATGGGGTTAAAATACTGCAGGCAAAGGAGGTGATAAAATAGAGAAGAGACTGAAGGCAACTCATAGGGCTCAGAGGGAAGTTAACGCAATAATCTAATCAATATGGGATGGAGATTGGTATCAGAGTCTTCCTACAGGAGGTAGATTTTTGAAATGCTGGGGGCCAGGATCACCAGGAGGGAGGGACGGAGAGATAGAGATTGTGTGTGTGTGTGTGTGTGTGTGTGTGTGTGTGTGTATATGATTCAGTGCCAAGAGAGAGAATCTAAGGGCATCAGACCAGGGACCCAGAGCTAAGCAGGCTGGACTCTCTAATGGTGAAAAGCTACTCAAAGTCCCTGATTGTGCCCACTCACCTTTCTGCCTTCCACCCGCCTCAGTGATTTTCTGTGTCTTACAGAAAGCAGAGGCTCCAGCAGACAGCCATACTCATTCATTCCACTGTGCACTCCAGGTCTCCGCAGTTGGCATTTGAAGCAACCTGTCTGATGTTAACTTGGATGTCAGCTTCTCCCTTCCCCACCCCTCTCTGAAGATTTGGTAAATAAACAATAGGGACTTTTCAAAACCAAAGGGCCTGAGGAACCAACAGGCTCCATGGTAATGGGGAGGCCGAGTGAGCACAACCAAACGGGTAGGTCACTTGAATAACATCTGCTGCCCTTCTGCTACGTAAGACCCAGGGCTGCACTCCGTGGTCTGGGCCCACCATGAATGAATCCGGGTCCCTTCATATGGAACATACAGGTTAGCAGCTGGTATACCCAGTGTGCTCGGTTGAGGAGTCTGAAGCTGCACACAGGCGCATTAAACAGCGTCTGAGAAAGATTATTCCAACAGGAGAAAGGAAAGTCCTAGGTCAGAGAGGACAGTACGGCAGAGGTTGTGGGAATTTGGGCCAAAGGTGGGCTTTATGGGGATAGAGAAGAAGGGGTGAATGCGAAAAATAACAACACATCTTGTACTAAAAGCAACAGAGGGAAGAATTTGGCAGCGGAGCAGATACAGGTTGGTGATGGAGAGAAAATAGTTAAAAATTAACCCACCTTGGTGGTGAGCTTGGGGGATGGGAGAGTCCGCAGTGGGCGACAGGGAAGAGCTGGTGTGAGGGACAGGAAGATGAGTTCCGTCATTTCCAGGCCATGCGAAGGCAGATGTCCTGCAGGTGACTGGACTTGGAGAAGGGCAGTGGCTGCCTTTTGAGAGTGTCCCTGTCACTACAGGCGTGCAAACAGCTTCAAAGGACAGTCGCTGGCCTGGGATATCATGGACCGATTCCGCACACCAGGTGGAAGGTTCGAGTTGACAACAGTTGAGGTACCTCCTGGCTGGGAGGTTCAGGGAGCGCTGGCTGGGAGAGCACACGTGTGGGAAATATGGCTCTATGGGTGGGAAGGGGGTCCGTGGCCCAGGCCTGCATCGGCATCCATCTCCGCAGTGGGTGCCAGAGATGCCATCAGACGGCCCAGGGGCACGAGGCCCAGGTGAGGCCCTTCAGCTGCCTGGGGTCCCTCCCCCAGCCCCACCCTCAGAGGCCCTGGAGCCCAGGCCTGTACTGACTGCCAGGGCCTTTCCTGGAACTCAGCAGAGGACGGAGCCCCTCCCTGCCAGCCCTGGCACACTCCAGGCACAGCGTGTCCCCGGGGGCACCTTGCAGACACCCCAGGAGGCTGGGGTGTGGGACAGGTCTCGGCCTCCAGGAAGAGTCCTGCTCTGGGCTGCCATCTGAGCTCCCTGCCCTGGGCTGTCATCCTCACCCAGACCGCAGGGGACAGCAGGCACAGAGGAGGAAGGAGAAGCTTTGCGGCCGGGTGGCAGGATTCATGCGTCTTTGTTGTGGCTTTGGGTGGGAGGGTGGGTAAGGCAGAAAAGCAGGGTCTCAGGCTTCAAAGCACCTCCCCACCTGCTTCTCCCTCCCTCTGAGGAAATCTTCAGGGGCCTCGTGGTTTTGAGGGGAGGGGACAGGAAGAGACTCTAAACTCTGGGTCAGCCGAGGACAGAGGTGGGGGAGGTCTTCTTGCCCTATATCCCATTTTCTCTCAGCACCCTCTTCTTGTGCTCGCCGCCACCCCGGAACACATTTCTACCTCCTCCTGCAGCGATGAGTTACACCCCCCGCACCAAGACCTCCAGAGGCCTCCCGGAGCGGTGGGCTTTGGGGGGAAACGGGCCTTGTCCGCAGAAGCTGGAGGCCGGGCCACACCTGCCGCGGGGGAGGGGGGGAGGGGCGGGAGAAGAGCTCCCCTCCCAGACGGGCCCAGCCTACTCGGCTCGGGCTGGGGGCCGATCGACGCAGGAACACAGGGGCGAGAAGGCAGAGGGATGCGCACGCGGGCCACGTACAGGGCCCGCGCGGCAGGCAGGGGCAGACAGGGGCGGGAGCCGGCGGTACGCCCGCCCCCCCGCCCCCCCTTCTCCAGCTCCTCCCCCGGGCTTGAGGGAGCCTCCGAGAGTCGGGTCGTCGCTGACCGCAGGCTGCAAGAGCGGTTGATCTGGTGAGCGAGCACACCCACTTACCCAGCTGCTGAGTCAGGCTGTTCTCGCTCCCCGCTCGCCCGCCCGCTCGGGACATTGTGTTCCAGCCCCGGCGCGCTGGCACCGGGCCCAGGCGCTCACACCAGCCTCCTCGCCCTGTTTGTGCTCGCGGCTTGCGCTCGGCGCGCAGCCTCCCCGCCGCCGCAGCCCTGCGAGTGCGCGCTGGGGCCCCGGCGGGGGGGCTGGTGTGGGGCCCCGGCGCGTCGCCCGGCCGGCGGGGACCCGCGGCGCAGCCCGGGCGCCGGCCCGACGTGCGGCACCCAGACCTCGCCATCCCCCACCGAGCCCGGGCGCGCGTGGGGCCCGAGTAGCACACTTGGGGTGGGGGGCAGGTGCTGGTAGCTCCTCGAGGGAGAAGGAGCCGCCCAGGCCGCCGCCCAAGCCCCGCTAGCGCTCGGTCCGGTCCGGAGGAGGCTAGCTGGGAGCGCGCCAGCCCCCCACTTGGAAGACCTGGGGCTGCAGTCACGTGACAACAGAAACCCGCTGGAGGGGGGCCGACTCGCGCGATCGCCCCCCCACCCCCACCCTCCGGAGGAGCCTCCTCCCCGTGCGTCGGACCCCCTTCCCCATCCGCCCTTCGCACCAGCCTGGAGACTCCAGGGATTCCCAAGGGCTGGCAAACCAAGCCCAGCCCTTGGGGAGAGCTTGGGAAACCCCTGGCAGGACGCCGGGAGTGGGAAGAGCCCGGGAACGGACGGCGGGGTGGAGAAGACGACCCCGAACTGGAGCGTGACCCCTCCCTTTGTTCCAGCCCCAAACCCGGATTCATTCAGAGCCACGTTTTCTCTTTACCCATCCATCTACTGAAAGACGTCATTGAGTGCCGTTCCTGAAGGTTCCACCGGCTCCAAACCAAGGAGGGGACAAAGGACTGACATGCTGAGCGTACCATATGGAAGGCTGTGTTGGGTCGCGCTAAGGATGGCGGTGGAAAGTTGAAGGCCCAATTCTAAAGGCCCTTCGTCTCCCACCTTCCAACCTCCGCAGCGTGCTGGGCCGTTTCTGCTGCCAGGGC